TGCAACAGTGAATCGTATCGAGCAAAGCCGCATTGTCAAGCAAAAAGTGCATTGTCGTTACAATGATCGTATCAACTGGATTAAACGCAGATCGTCTGATTTTGAGGCCATCTACACAAGAGGTGTACGCGAGAACGCGCCACCACACACGGAGGCCGAATACAAATCCGACTCGGTTCTGGACAAAGAGCATGTCGAGTGCTTCGTACACTGTCAGCTGGCGTTTTTCAGTGACACCCTGCTTGCTATCAACACCTCCTCGACCGTGGCCAACAGCAGCCTCAGCTGATCTACCCCGTCGTGCGACATCGACTTGACTGTATTCAATCGCTTTCCATTGTCAAATAAGTCTCGGCTGTCTCGATCGTCATCTCGCATGTCGACAGACACCTCTATCTCGTCCCGCGGTACGACGATTCGGTCAGTTCGGTGACTTTGCAGGCCTGAAGCTGCCTGTGTCGCCATCCCAGTGATGACAAGTACCACTCTATCACCTTCGTACCAGCATTCGACTTGCAGTGCATCTCATGCTCGGACTCGTGACACCAATCATGCTCGGACTCGTGACACCAATCATGCTCGGACTCGTGACAACAATCAGACTCAGACTCGGACTCGCGACACCAATTATGCTCGGAATCGTGACAACAATCGTGCTTAAACCCGTGACAATAGTCTCCTCTCGTAATTGGCTGCTGGTAATGAAAGCTGTTTTACGCGTCTGCTCGCCATTTTGGTGATGAGATTCCACACACTCGTTCCGGCCACGTGACTTCTACTCGCATTGTGCTCGAATATATGCTGACTTGTCGATGGTACATCGGCGCAGCACGCTACAACGTGCTTCCAGTTGTCGGCCAATGCTGTTGTCTGCTCGACCCGCAGACTTATATCCGTGTCCGTAGTACACATTCCATTGTTCGCGTCTACGCACAACCGTCCACTCAGCATCAGATCGAGGAAAGCGCTGACAAGGGATGCACGTGTCTATCTATAGTGAGAGCTGACTCCACCACTATCGCGATCAAATTTGGACTGCCTCGATCGTCAGTGGTGAGTGTTGCTTCTCCTGTCGATGAATAGCGTCCTTTAGCTCCACAAGAAGTCTCACACTCGCTTGTTCCGCCTTCTGCTCACAACTTTGACTTACGAGGGTCGACGCCGGATTGAAAGCCGTCAAGCCTTTGACAAGAATCACGCCTGCCCTTATCTGCTTGTCTTTCTTCGACGAGGGCGTTCTCGGGGCCATCTCCAGCCCTATCGACGGTAAGCCTTGCGTCGGTATTGCTGACATCTACGATCGCCATAGATTCTGTTACCGACATTGTTAACGCGTTGGAGCCACGAGTGAATTGGACGTTGCTGGGCCCCATCTGACCGCGCTTAATGGGGTCAAAGTGCCAAAAGAGTGCGTCGGTGCGCTCAAACAGCAGATTGCCCAAGTAGTTGTCACCTACGAGGCACCACACTGCAGATAACGTCAGCAACAAAGCCCCGATACATCAGCGTCCCTTTCATACGTACTGGCTTGCTCAATGCCTCCGTCGTGCTGCAAGTTGATCTCGATGTAGCCCGTCAGATAGTGGCACGGGTTCCAAACGAACAAGGGGACGTTGTATATGCTGCGTTTGGCTGTCATGCTGTAAAACACGCTGCCGTTTACGTTGTGGTCTGCATTCACAAACGTGATGATCGAGTTGGTCGTAAACACTCCAACGACCGTCCCACTCATTCGATCGGGTCCTGGAAACGGAATATGGCCTCCAACAATATGATCGTCCGTGCGTGGCGGCTTGCTCGTTTGTCGCGTCAACAGGTCCGTGAGGTTTACAAGCGTCCAAGACGCTGCTTGAACCACCGCTGCCACAGCTTTTTGGTCTATCATGGGTCCCGCAACAGAGGTAAGCAAAGTTAGTCGACCACCTTTCAACGTCTTCCGGTACTGCTCAGCTGTACGCAAGTGTACCATCAAAATCCAGAGGTGACGTCCACAGACATCGCTGTCGAATCGACAGGCGATACAGCAGCGGATTACACCCGAGTAGATATTTCAACATGGGCGCGACCACGACGGCCGACGGCAGTTTCACCACAAACTTTGCAAAGCCTTGTCGGTCCATCGTCCCCAGCACTGCACACACTGTGTCACTCCAGCTCCACTTGGGCCACCGACTGCAGCTCTTCATCAGTGCAATGTTCTTGCATAGCAGCAGTATGTTCAGCGACAGCAACGAATAGAGACAACTGGCGAGGAAGATCGTTGGAAAGAGCACGAGCCAATAGAGCAGCACAATGACGTGGCACGGAAGCGCCAAGACGGCGACGACAGCAGCTACTGTGTAAAACCCTTTGCTTCGGTGGATGCTTTTCACCGGTCGCTGCAGCCCTTTTGTCCTGTAGAGTTGAAGGACCAATAGTCCTGGCACGGTCGTGATCCCAACAACGACGTAGACGACTGCAGCCAATGGCACGAGCAGCAGCAGCACGAGACCCGTGTAGACATCTACAATTCCGACACCGCCAAGCGACTCATTCTCGTCCAGTTCTTCATGCGTTGCGAGCCACGTGGCTCGAGTCGCTTTGGTTTTCGGTAGCGACTCCTTCAGTAGTTTCGCCATTGAGGCATCCGAGCGAGAGACAAAGTCCGTCCAGGGACCACCAACTGATGCTGGAGGGGGTGCAGGTGGACCGAGAGACATCGCGTGGCGTGTGTGAAGAAGGACGGGGCAACGTCTATATGCACAACAGAGAGAGGGGGAGAAGCAGACGAGGAAGAGGAGAAGACGGTTGGATCGGGAGATGGCTACGCGGCCATTGCTGTGGCTTTCGACGACGCTTCGCTGTGGATCCGGTCGAGAAACCGGTTTTATATCGTTGAGTGCGTGCATTCGGTGAATACAAACTTTGTTCGATGCGTTTGCAGTAGTGGGAGCTTGTGTGACGTGGTTCAGTACGTGTACCGGTATCGAGACGGCTGTCAGCGGTATGCCGTGTCACACCGTGCGGCTGGCGCAGCAACGATTAAAGCCGACTTTCAGGACGCTGTCGGTATGTCTGGATTAGTGCTGGCGGTAACGTGGTAGAACAAGCAATACCTGTGAACTTCAATCAACGTACGTAGACATCAGCGTGTATCGTTGCGTACCGCGACCATTGGGCGAGTCCACCAGAGGTTAAAAGCAGCATGCGTCGTTGGATGAGCAGATGTGTAACGGGGGAGCCCGTTACATGATAGTGTCATTAAGGATAAAATGATGATAAAGAATATTACGTTGAATATTCTTTCAACAATATCATAAAGCATGATGATATTGTTGGGATGACCGAAGGGTCTACTCATTGGCTGATATCTTGATGATATCAACCCACCAATCGCTGCTAGACGTGCGCAATGGGTGGAGAGTAGACGTCATCATACGTGTAGTTATATTAACATAATTGAGTCAGGACAAACAGAGACACAAGAGTTATAGGACTTGACTATATTGATGACAGTTTTACTTTTACCACGACTAGATCCTTTGCCTTTGTCGCTCTATCTTCCTCTGTGTAGTTCTACATCTAGCCGGGCGCTGACTATCACTGCAGATTTGTAAACTCCGTGCTGGTTGACCAGTACGTAGTCATCGGTGCCCCGTTACACCTGGTAGCACTTGGTTTTCCGTTCAAGGACCACACTCGCATCGCCCAACATGAAGATATCGGACGAAGTCGAAGGCGACAGATTTCACGGAACTCGTGAAAGCTACTCCCAATCGAGTGATGTCGAATGGAGTGCGATCGAACGAATGAGCTCGACCGTCGGCTATGAAGCTATCTGGGCCATGCTATCCACAAGGGATAGTGACCAGCAGCGTCCCGTCATTAGTAAGTTCTTGCAACGAGAACTTGACGAGTCGCGAGCGCAGGTGACCTTGTTGCAACAATAAGATCACCAGCGGACTATAGAACTGAGACAGCATCAGTCTAAGTACGCACAGTCGACGCGTGAGCGTCGACATGAGTCTTTTGAGTTGGAGATATCCAAGTATCACGGAGTCGAGAACGACTCCCTGTTGAGATTGTTCGTCGAAGTCGACGGTGCCATCGAGGCTCGTCGCATCGACGATAAACAAATGCAAGTCGCATTTTTTTAGTCGCACTTGGCAGGGGACGCCAGGAATTGGGCCCTAAATCTCAAGTTACACAACCCGAACGTATTCGGGTCGTTAGACGTCTTCAAGACCCTGCTCAACGATACGTTTGAGCCTCCCAGGGCAGAGTTCAGGGCTCTATCTGAACTCCTCGCGATCAAACAGGGTAAGCGTAAGATTCTTGCTTATGATCAGCATGTACGCTACCTTGCAAGTCGTATGGTAGTGAACCATGTGAGTGAATTTGTGTAGATCACAATTTTCATCCAAGGTCTTGCAGATGGTCTCGTCAGGGACCACCTTATTAGCGGGGAGCTAAAGACGCTCTCCGAAGAAATATACGCTTCGGAGCAGGAAGACTTTAGTGTGAGACAGGCTCACACTACGCTAACCTCCTATCGTCCACAGAGACGATCAGCGGTCGGAGGTCCAGAACCAATGGACCTCTGTCATGTCGAGGGCAAGAAACCTCGCTCCGTGAACGACAAGCGAATGGTGGGATGTCACGTTTTCATACGTTGGGGTAATATGCATACGAATGCAGTATCCCCCGCTCAGTACCCCGAGAAGATGAGCGTAGTACCGTATACCAGTTGGAAGAACTGGAACACGAAAGTCAGATGATGTTGCAAAGCCGCAACAGCGAAGCGGACCATTAAAAATGGTCGGAGTCAGTAGGGGAGGAGTGCCCTACTGATCCGGCAACATCAAGAGAATTTGCAAATTTCTTGACGAAGGTTGCTCCAGATACACAGTCAATGTGTGTCTCTGCATCTGGTGATGAAGTGTGTATCATTACCTTGACATTATAATGACAAAGGACTTGTCACTTCGCGCCCTAGTTGACCGTGGGGCGTCGAACAACTTTGTTCGTCGCCAGTCGCTAGAGGCAGGAAGTTTCAACTTCGTGGAGCGGGAGATCCCTCCAACAAGAATGACGGTGCGCCTAGCGACAGGCGCATCGATTACCGTGAAGAAACGTGTTCTCGGAATCCACTACACGCTGAAAGACGAACAGTACGATGATGACTTCATCGTACTAGACCTGTATAACAAGTTTGATGTCATCCTAGGACTACCTTGGCTCAGGAAATACGATCTAAGGGTGAGCTGGCATCATCGATCAGTAATAATGCCTGTCACTTGTTCATCAGATGACGATCTAAAGAATATCTTGGAACGCCCAAATTCATGTGGGTGTACTGCGAGTAAGTGCGATGACCTCACTTGCGGTACGGTCGTTAGTACGACTGTACAAGATCACTGTGTAGATAATCCTTACATTGTGGAGAAATTTCTCCTGGATCATGTGGATTTGACTTCTCAAGAAGTAATCGAGACAGTGAATGTCTTTGTTAAAGCCGGATCAAGAGTAGGCGCTTACACGCTTGATCTGATTGTGCTTACGAAGTTCACTTCGGAGATAACTATTTTTCTACCACTAGATCCGAAACGGTTCTTGCGCGATCTGCGTAGTGGCAAAGTCAATCAGATCTGTGTGCTCGTCGCGGAGGACGAGTACGTCATCGATATTATATTCATAATGGTTTTACTGAGACCGAACGGGTTCTCAGCATTTTATTGATGGACGGAAGCGTCATCGATGAGAAGACTCGGATTGAGCAATACACTTCTCAATCCTGGAAGTCGCTTCAGGCAAATCCTTTGTATAAGGATTTGATCGAATTCAAGGATGTGTTCCATGAATCCATGCCCTTCGCGTGCCCTAAGGATAAAGGAACTCGACACGAGATCGAACTTTTACAGGGTTTGAAGGAATGTGTTATGAAGCAGTGGCCACTGCCTCGTGCACAGGTGCAAGCGATCGACAAGTTCTTTACCGGTTGCTTAGCGGCAGGTAATATTAGGGAATCAACTTATTCTCACATCTCTCCGGCCTTTTGTGCGCAAAAAGGCACATGAAAGTGGCGGATTGTTTAATTCTTCAACAAGTTGAATGCTGCTACGGCTCCGGCTCAGACGCCGATACCGAGAAAAGACGTAATCATCGATGGTATGTCAAAAAGTACCAGTTTCTCGTCCATGAATCTGATGGGTGGCTTCAATTAGATCTTCATGCGTAAACGGGACATATTGTGCACGGCAGTGAGCACTCCAAAAGGTATGCTCTAGGAGTAGCTAGAGATGCCAAAGGGGCTGAGTAACGCCCCTGCAACGTTCAACAGATGTGCTACAGATCTGTTGAGACCGGTGCGGGATTTTGCACCGAGTTATTTCAATGATGTGTTCGTTCATACCCGGGCTATGAACGGGAAGACGGACGTTGAAGTTCACAGGACTCACGTTCGTCAGGTCATTCAACTAATGCGCAAGCATTAGTTGTACGCCAACCTCAAGAAGTGTATATTCTCGGCTAGCAAAATACCACTTCTTGGATGCATCGTGAGTAAACACGGCGTACGCCTCGATCCCGAAAAGATCAAGGCAAAAACCGACTGGCCAGTGCAAGCTGATGTAAAGGGAACGCAGGAGTGCCTTGGTCTAGTGATATGCTTGCACAAGTACTCGCGCACCTACGCCAAGATGACCATTTACCTCTCTCGTCTCTTATAGACCAAGAGATGGTTGTGGAACGCTGAATGTCAGCAATGTATAACACGTATCAAGCACAGCTTGATGCAGCTACCCCATCTTGGCGATTGCTGACCATGACAGACCATTTCGCGTGGTATGTGACGCCAGCTATTACGCAATCGGCTGTGCGTTGATGCAGTATGGCATAGACGGCGCGGAGCGCGTCGTCTGATATCAATCGTGTCAGCTGCAACCAGCTGAACGCAACTATCCATTGCACGATAAGGAACGGCTTTCCATGAAGTATGAATTGGCTAAGTTCTACCTCGATCTCCTAGATGATCGACCACCTATCGTCTACACGTACCATGCGTATTTACGCACGGCCGTAAACAATCATCACCTGTCGCAGAGAATAACATCGCGGCTTCTTTTTTGGAAAAGTCTAACTTCTACGTATGTATGGACCTGGATGACTGAATCTCGTTGCTGGTGCGCTCTCGCTTCGACCCGAATTCAATCCGGCCACGCAAGTCAACAATGAGGCCGAGCTTAATGTTGCGACGCTATTAGTTAGTTTGCCGTCATCGACGTTACTCGAAGACGTAAGAGAGGCGTACGCAGAAGATAAGAATCCCCTGCGCGTAATAATACACCTTGCAAATCTTTTTCAAATAAGCCTTGTCGGATTCGCCTTTACTATACTGTTCGTATTTGGATCGGTATACGACTCGCCACGGGTTGCTGTACCATACAGACGTTGCCGAGGACAAGCCTCGTGTCGTTGTTCCCTCATATGATGACTTGCGATTTCGCATCATGATCGAATGTCACGATGCGTCAATAGGTTGGCATCATGGCCATGAGAAGATTACCCCGCGGTTACTTGTGACTTTTGCTGGACCAATCAGTACCAATACGTACGCAAGTTAATTTGTTATAGCGAGGTC